TTAAAATGTAACTATAGTCTTGAAAACAAACAGAATAGACCAATAGCAATGATTGATTTGTGACAATAAATCAGACACAAATAATATTCAATAATTTCGCTGAACTCCGATCAAGAACCGCACAGCATTGTGGGGGATGTAGGCAGAGAAACTTCTCACAGTCAGCTAAGCAAGGTTGGTAGCATCAACTAATTCACTCACTCTTTGGTTACCCAGCAATAACCTGTTGAATAACAATGCAGCTTTTTAAGGTTTCACTACTGTGCCTCATATCGGCTTAAAAATAAAAATTGTGTTATGAAAACTGTGGATAAACCAAGAAATGTCATTCCACCAGACTGGCAGTATTTCAGATATTTAAAACACAAAACTAATCAATAATAATTAGCAATATTGAGTGGTATGAAAAGGTAATGCTCTTTTCAGCCCTGGATTCACTCAATTATTTGTTAGATGTTTGTGGCTCAGTTTGCCAGCTGCAGAGAAAACAAACTGTTGACTATTTGAACTTTAACCTGGCTGGGCCCCGTACCTTGAGTCTCCAGAGTTTCAGCTCGAAGCCGATGCTCCAGGTCCTCCATACCGATGTCCTCCCGATTCTGACCCGAGTGCCAGAAGTCCAGCACCACATCATTTATTGTTGCACCGCCGATGTTGCTGCAGTGATGAAAAGCAGTGGTTTGCTTAGAAAAGTTAGTATGCTGACTTTAAATAGTTTCACTTATGATGGGTGTTACAAAACGTTTAGATCAAAGACATTTGAGAAATGTTTTCTTATGAAAATGGCATAAAATAAATACAAAATGAATAAAACATTTCGAGGTTGTCAAACCTCTGCTGGCCAGCACTTCAAGAAGATTTTAGACATAAACTACAAAAAACATGAACAACACAGAAAGAAGAAAACCCAACCTTCACTGAAAATGAGCCGTCAGAACAGCGCTCAGCTTGTGACCCAGATTTCACATCACTTAGCCTGATCCACCGACCTGAGAAAGATGAAGATGGCTCTCCGGTAGCTGACCCCATCCACATTGTCATAGTGATCCATGTAGGGCTTGATGGCGTCGATGAGGCCCGGGTGGAGCTTCTCAGCCTCGTCGAAGATGAACAGAGTCTGCGGGCAGCGCAGCACCAAGTCTCGGATGGCCTCCCTCAGCTGACCCTGGACCCAGTGAAGAGGAGCAAATTCAATATCACAAAGTGCTTTGACAGGACATACAAAATAAATAAATAAAGGAACTTAAAAACATAAAACTAAAAACTTAATACCTTCAGAACTTCATCTTTCTGACTTTTCCAAATGAAAATAAATTGTCTTTTTTTTAAACTCATGCTATTGCAATGGTTTTATTTCCAATAACAATACATGCAACAATAGATTTTTACAGTATCCAGCTGAAAACTGCTCTTCGTACTATCAATCTGCTGTGTGAAGTCTAATATTAAATCAGATATTGGGTGAAAATGAGGAGCCCATTTGTGTCATTGTGGCCCAGTTGGACTCGTACCAGGTTCCAAAAATCCACGCATATCTGTGGTGTTGGAGCACCAATATTTGACCTGAAGCATCGGTCCAGATTGTGACCGAGTTTCAACACGCAGACTAAACATCTGATTAAGCAAGGGAGCCGACCCATGTGTTCCTGGAACACGGCGTCCAGCTCCGTGGGCTGACTGGTTTTCTGGACGTCTCACCTTGTACGTGTCCAGCAGTCTGGCATGGGGGAAGTGGAACGGGGCGATAAACAGACGGACGCACTCGCTCTTCACCCCGTCCCGGTACAGGTTATCGGCGATGATACGGGCCACAAAGTTCTTGCCGGTTCCGGTCCAACCGTGGAAAGAGAGTGTGAGAGGCTTGTTGGACTCTGGGTTGTTAATAAAACCCTGGATGGCTTTCAGAACCACGGACTGGACCAGGTGTTGGCCGTGGAGCTTCGTCTGCAGGTCCTTGGCCAAACCTGAGTGGGGAGATAACAGACACACAATACAGCACTTGATTTATTTTTCTTTTTTATTATTATTATTTCTTAGCCAGTTTTTACAAATTCAATTAGTCAAAAAATGATTCTAACAAACTGACATTTCTTCTCTGTAAATGTAAGGTGCATTGTCTCCTGAAGACTTTCAAATGTTGAACCAATCAGTTTAAACACCTATTTCCCAATCAAGCTTCCTGTTCAAACATAAGATTATTACAGGAACATTAGTCATCCTGTGCATCTTACAAAAATGTTTAATGATTGGTTGTTAAGATGCAACTACAATAAACTAACAATAAAATGTGATAACAGGAAACAATAAAGCAGCTCGGCCGACTTTCTTATAGCTGGAACAAAACGGAGTGACTGGAAAGATAAAAGTTTCCATGACAGTCAGGAGTGTCATGGAGAAAACTGTGTCTTCTCTTCCTGCTTCCATGGGAGTTTTCAAGGAAAGTAGCAGCCAGGTGTTGCTCACCAAACACACTCGATTCTCGTATGGCCAGTGAGCACGACTGCCTTTATGAAAGCAGAAATTTTGATGTTTAGTAGTTAAATGTTGATGTTCATGGAAGCACAATCAGAAAAAGACAGACAACTAGGTAGGAGAAATTGAACCTTAGTCCCTAAATACTGCAGGGGCCTAATTAAAGTTCAGACCAAAACCAAAAGCAAAATGTTCTAGCCAGACTCGAGGAATGTCCACAGCAGAAACGGTGCTAAAGAGAAACTCAAACTTCATCTCGCCCCACAGACACATAATGTTACAGGTGTTTACTCTCAGACTGGCTAAGCAGCAGTGAAACATCCACAAACCAATCACCTGTAATGTTGTTGGTGATCCTGCAGTCTCCAGACTCACAGCACTGGCCCAGGCTACAGTACCACTGATGCAGCAGGCTGGTGTAGTCCTGAGGAAAGCCTGGCCAGAGGTCCCCGACAGGAACTTCACACAGCAACAGAGACACAACCCCGGGTTTATAACGCTGTAGTAAGCACTGGTCGTCTTTCAAGCCAAAGTCGGAAACTCCTGATCGGTGCAACAATGTTGCTGCTCACCTTGCTGTGTGGCATCATCCTGGTGGGGCTGACACTCCCCCTCCCAGATGTTGCAGTAGAAGTAGTTGAAATAGTAAGTGGAGACGTTGCTAATGCTATCGAGGGGGAAGATGTCGGCCTCTGCGGACAGAGCGCAGAGCAGCAGCAGCAGCCAGCGCACAAACATCGGGGAGCGGGGCGGAGAGCCGCGGCGGCAGAGGAGGTACAGGGCAGCGGAGCTTCTCTCCCATTTATTTAAACCACCGGCTGGCGACGTGACAGCCTGCAGTGGGCGCGCAGGGGTTCAGTCTCCACCCACCTTCCGGTCCCGGCTGTAAATTGTGTCCGGAAAGCACCAGCTTCGCCCAACCAGTTCCGCCTGACTCCGCCCACAGAGAAAAGAGGGGAAAAGCAGCGGCGGCAGTTTGATATTTCCTCCTCCAAATGTCAGTGTAGCTTTACATAAAGAGGGGTATTTTTTTCTCTCTTTCTCATTTGGTGCAGAAAAACACCGACATCACAACAGCAGCTGCTGCTTAAAATGCGACTTCACATTTTGTATCATTTTACCCTTTTGTTTGCCGGGATAAACAAGCTCGGTCGCCATATTTATTTAATGAATATCAATGGGAAAAAAGGTGTGGATTTGCATCTATGTTTAAATGAACTCATCTTTACGACACGCTCAGACGTCATGACCCACCATCACTGACCACTCCCTGGCTGTGATCGGTAATAATCAGTGACGTCATGCTGGCCATCAACTTACTTGACTTAAAATTTTCCAACTGTGTCTGATAACTGCAATGATATGGACAAAGGAAACTTTAATGTTTTGAAACAACTTTTTTTTAAAAAAAGGTAATTCCTTAGGAAAAAAAACTGACTGGTTTCTACATGTTCTTCACCAAGGTCCATGTCTTATTAAAATACATTTTTATTTACAATAACACAACTGAACATGAAATTTAGAGCCAATGATTAAACTACTTTTAGGAATCTAAAAGTATTTGTTTTCGTTTTGACAGGACAGTTTTTATGTGAAAGGTCTTGCCTGTTAACCATCTGCACCAGCCATTACACAATACTGTAATTCACCTGTCACTACTTTATACTCTGGGCTCGTTTAGTCATGTCTTGTGGAGAGACTATATATTATTCAATGATGGCGTTCTGTACATTTGCAACCATTAAGTTGAGCCAAAGCAACAAGGTCAACACAATAGTGACCGGTTACAAAACTACATACATGTCCAAGTCACCATATAAGCTGCATATTTTTAATTTGTATAGATTTAATGCAATAGGTTTTTCCAGAGTTTCCCATAGAAAGTTCCTTTAGTTCTTGAAGTTGGAATCAATTGTAGTCATTTTTTGTAATATGAACTCAATTTAAATATATTTAAGGTAAATCCAAGAGTCTTAACTTTTAAGTATACCACTAACTTTGTAATAGTGATTATCTGAGCAGTGTAAAGTCTCATTGTGACACTTTGGGAAGAACTACTTTAAATCATTCATTTTAAAATCTTTCCCAAATTTCTACAGCTTTCCAGCTCAATCACTACAAAATGGCTGTTTCTTTCTCTACAGGCATCAAGCAGTCTGACACCAGGGTCATTTCAATCTGAAGTTATTTAGTTAAAAACAAAAAAAAAGGACAAAAGCCATAAACTTGTGGCAATTCCTAAGGAAAAGCGGAAACATGGAACCTCATTAACATTAGGATTTCAAAACTAGTTCAAGTCAAGCAAATATTCCTACACCATGGATCACATAAGACCCTTATTTGGTTTTACCATATTCAGCAGTTTGCTTTTTTTTAATTTTTTTTTAACCCCAATGCATCGACGCAAAGGCCAATTATGCTTTTGCATCGACTGCATTTTCTTAAGCAATAATGTTTTACTTCTCGGTCATCAAAAATAAAATTCTGTATAAACATTTTATATATTCATTGACTTATGACAAGTAATCTGTGGGTCCATCTCAAATCTTTATTGAATTATAAATAAACTCCTGAAGCTCAGACCATCCTGATCACAGCATCAGCTCAGTAAATCGAGGATAAAGTTTCCCCATCATCTTCGTGTCAGCGCCTGCAAGAAAGCAGCTCATCAGACCGAAGTCTCTTCTAATGAACATGCAGGTCTCCAACTGACCACAAAACCTCAGAAATAATGGAACGGTAAGGGTTATAATCAATGGTTACATTCATTTGGCAGAATCTTTTCATCACTGGTTAAATGGTCAGCTTATAGAAACTCCTAAAATGTGTAAATAAAATTAAATCCTTACCGTTGCTCAAGTTAATCTCCTGTAAAGAATAAATGAGAACTTTACTCCAGGTCAGCAACCAATTTTAAAAGGTTTTCATTCATTGGGTCACTCAGAAAATTTTGCATTTGTCTACATTACAGTTCAGGTCAGACATTTGTTTGGACATCACCAAACCCACACTTAATGTTTCACAACAGTGACTCCTCCTTACCGAAGTTTAAGGTGTCCGCTTTCACGCTGCAGGCCGGCAGTATTGTTGACCTGAAGAGACAAGAACATTAGTCAGATAAACAACCCAGGCAGGAACAGGACCACCACTGAACTGACCACATCAGCTAGAGCTAATATAACGCATCATGGTTAATCAGTCTTCATTTTGTCATCATAGGTCAGATTATGTGTGGCTTCTCCTCAGCCAAGTGCTCAATATGTCATTTTTACTCACCCTTCAGTTCAGTTTCCTCTACTATGAGCTGCCACTCCCCTCAGAGGCTCTGTAAACAAAAAAAAATAAATAATTGATGTCTTAAAAATGACACAGCACTGTGCAATCAAATAAATACCAACTTCAGATCAGAGAGTTACTTATTTCCTCAACGGGATCAGCGACCTGATTCAAACTCATCACACCTGAACTTCCTTTTACTTCAACCTGCAACAGATAAAAATCTTACCTGTGAAGCAGCAGGGAGTCGCGTGACGACATTCATTCCTATCAGGAAGCAGGAGATAAAACTGATCAGCTTTGACTTTAAGCAACCAGGACATTCAGATGTTTGTGTTTGATACGTCAGTTAGGGGTGAAAGACGATATGAGGTCTTCATGAGATAATCTGCTGAACTATGCAGTCATCATTGTATCAAATGTCACTGAAAGATGCATCTTCACCATAAAGCTCACCTTCATCAGCTGCTGCAGACTCTGGTTCCTGACAAACAGAAAGGAATGTAAGTAAAAGCATCACTGAGCTACTGTATCCGAGGTTAGGGAAGCTGGTGCATCAGATAGGAGCGAAAGATTGTTCTTCATAGTGATCCGTTGAACTATAAGATCATCATTGCAGCAGGTAAAGTGTATACTTATTATTTCTAATAAAAACTCACCAACAGATTCAAAACCTGGAGCAGAGGGCATGAGGATGCCAAACACCTGCAGGAGAAACAGGCCGATTACTAAGAGTTACAAGTTTATGCACAGGCATCCATCCTTCAGCTCAAGCTGTGTCAGAATAAAGTCCTCTTTCATTCTTTTTCAGAGAGATTCCCATTGTTTTATAACAATATTCATCACAGACAGTCATCCAGAAAACATGGAGGACATGTAGTTTGGTCATTACCTGCATCTCAGTTGTTGAAACGGATCAGCGTACCTGAAAAATAAAGATGAGCAATTAAAAAAGGATTCAGATTCCACAAGAAAATGCATCAAGTTCTTTGTGGCTCAGACTATAAATATAGGTGGTTGGAGTATCGTCATCCATCTTGTCGAGAGTAGCAAATAATTGTCATCATTGCAGCACAAGATTATTGAGATGGTGATCAGAGGCAGACTAATGCTTCACTCAGGTGTTGCTCCACGTTACAGTAGAAATGTCCTCAATTTTGACCAAGCAATGACTGCAACTAAATCTTAATAGTTTAATCAGAAGACTGACTTTTTGGAACAAGTTGTAAAATTTAGCCTAGTCTATCAATGTTTAGTTCAGGTGAATACCTATACATTTTTTAAATCTGAATGCAGCTTTTTCACATTTAGTAGATCAGTTAATCTAATGTCTGAAACAAACCATTTTATGATTATCAAGTTTTAGTTTCAGAGCTGCAGATTAATGCCGATATTTATTAAGCTTGTGGCCTAAATTCACAGTATGTAGCTAAAGACACTAGATTACATAAATATGCATTGTATAACATATACAATGTATATGTTATATACATTTGGTACTTTGGCACCAAGATTAACTGGGTCTCAGTGCCAAAACTAGCACAGTACATTAACCAGTTAAAGCAATCCAATTCACTGCATTTTGATGAATGAATGACATAAATAATAAAAAAGGTTCAGTAACAGCAGTTTTTGTTTTTGCTAATCAACTTATTTTGGTTCAGCTTAAATTCACAGGACACACCAGAGATATGCATTATTCTGCCTTCAAATGTTACAAAGCTGTAGAGCTTTACCTCCATCCTACTGGTCCTTCAGCTGTCTGAATCATTCCATAACCTGTGGATGATTTCTCATTAGCACTGTTCAGTTTAGCAGATTTCACATTGAAGCTGAACTGATGAGGCCTCATTGTTAAAATTTCTCAGAAATCACTTCTGTCCACTACTCTTACAACTTAATCATCGACCTTCACACAGGATCAGTGAGGGAAAACTTACACACCTGTGCACAAGGTGTAGATTTACAGTAGTCGGATGATCCATGGTTTCCCTAAACAGAAAATACAAGCAATTAGAACAGTCACACAATTTAGCTTTGGCGCAAACTTGCGCTAAGCTAACTTTAAGGAAACTGCTCTCACCATAGCACATGGCTTTTCATCTCAGCATGTGCCCCACACCGCCCTGCAAACAAGAAACAATTGAATAAATATTACTGAGCTAACTTTATTCTTGCATCAATTAGAAAGGCCCGTCTTCAGGAATAGCTGCTCGGCTAACACCTCAGGCCTGCAGCCAAACTGTCCCATCGAGTCAGAGTGTTGTGTCGCATCACATTAACTCAGATGTCCCTAACAACACGAAATTGCATCATTCATCTCTGGGACAGCGACTAATTACAGTTACATTAAAGCTGTGCAGCGAGGTAGCTCGTATAGTCTGCTACATGCTAACACCAACACGTGGCTGAGGCCTACAGGAGTTTTCCCCCTAAAGCAAAACTTAAACCAAAAGAAAACAAAACTTACAGCTGCATCAACAGCAGCAGAACTACAAACAAATAATTAATGCGGTAAAACAGTCAACTAACTAAATAAAAACCGCAAAGGCTAAACAGCTACATCCTTACCTCGGACAGACACGAAATGGGGGGAAGAAACCGGTGCGGGAGGTTTATATAGAATAATCCCGCAAAGGCTGATGGGAAAAAAAGTAGGAAGACATTTGGCGCCATCTGCTGCCTTTCGATTACAATTACTGCCTCCAAGTTCAATTATCTGTAAAGTAGTTTTGGAAGAAGCAGGAAGTTTATCCCTCACGATGTTCCTGGAAGAACAAATAACTCTTCTAAAAGGAAGTCTACATTTGAAATATGTTTGACCCTCTGGTGACAAAAATACTTACAATAAGGTGCAAAAGACATACCGATGTAAGCATACATTATGCATTACTTGTGTTTATTTCTAATACAAACATACTAGCTATTAGTTTTTCCTGTTGTGGCTGTGTTTATTAAATGCTACCATTTTCTTTATTTGCTTATAGAAAAGAAATAGTGCTGAATAAAAACACTGGAAAGCATTAAACTACTCACTCATGAATACTGTAGAGCTAAAATATTCTGCATAAAAATATATATTTTAATTAATTAGCAGTAATTAACAATGACACCAACATTAATATATTGGAGCACTTAAAATTAGACCAGTAAATTGTGAAGAGCCATGGCGGTGACTCAGCTATTTCAGTGAGCTGTAACGCTGCAGAGATGCCTATAAGGAAGCAAACTTATTTCTTTGTTTTCAAGAGCACCTTAGAAAAATTGCAGCTTTTCCCTAAACAGGCCAATGGACATCATAAAATGCCAGTTTTCTGAGCGAGTAGCATGAAGACTTGGTTGGACTTAAGAGATTTTTTTTCCTGGGCAAAGAAGACGACTTCTGGTCTTTAGTCAGTGGAAGCTAAGATTTTACCTGTCTGGCCGGTTAATAAGGTGGTCTTCATTTAAAATACAAAGGGCCCCAGATCAGGATCCTTGGAGCCAAGCATGGTGGTGGGAACGTAAGGGTGTGGGTGTATTTTTCAGCCATTGAGACCAAAGTAAATGACATCATAAAAACAGACATGATCCCTCTTAAGCACAGTCTCATTATCTTTAGATCGATGCCATTCTCATTTACCATCAAAACATCTTTTCAGTGCTATACAAACAACTTCAAATCTGCCAAGGACATCAATAATTTGGGGTTTTACTGCAACAGCCACAGCATTCAGCCTGAACAGTTCCTATTTCTACTCCTATTTTTACTATTGCCATATTACCGTAGTTGACCGATGCTGTAATTTATTCTACAAGAAAGAGAATTAAAGCATGTCTTATTATGAAGCTTTGATCCATTAATACTAAAAACATAAAAAACAAACTTTACATCAGTTATGAAAGAAGGTGACCTAAAATAAATAGACCAAATCTGACAGAAAATAACTCTCAGAGATTTAATATAATGTTTCAATTATCAGGAGAGTCAGATACAATCAATGGTTATGATGAGAAGGAAATAAAAAAAGAAATACATTTGTTTTGATTGCTTCTATCAGGCAATACTGAAATGAAAGGCAAGGCCTCTATTCAACAACTTATACAAAAAACATGGAGAGCAAAAAAGACAGAAGCAAAGCTTCAAATTGAGCTTAAGACCAGGTGGACAATTACAAAGGCCTTTTCATTTATGTTGATGTCACTGAAATTTCAGTATCAGTAGTAAATTTCTAGATCATATCAAGTTTTTTTTTGTCTTTGCATCAATTGATAATTAACTCTTCAACTACTAATAAGAGGGGTTGTTTTTGTCGTTGTTCAGCATGTTCTGATGATTTTTTTTACCCCCAAATTCAGATCCAAACTACAGTTTTAAATAGTAAAATCAGCAGTGAGTCAGTGATCGAAAGGCTTAGTATTGACCAACGTGTGGATCTGGATGTAAAACCACAAAAATATTAAACAACAGAAACCAGTCGGATGAGTCTACTCTATTGGCTCACTTTGAGAGAGCTTCAAGATGAGAAGATGATCTGCAGGACAAATGGGAGACTTTACATCCTCTCTATGGAGAAAGAACAACATGTAAACAATCCGTTTTGTTCAGGAATGCCTTCTGGTTACTGTTTGCTGTGCAGCTCAAAATCCCTCCGCTCTCTTTTTCTTTAACCCTTTAAAATCTTTTTTTGGCATAACTGGCACTGAAACTTTGAATTGCATATATTCCTTTAATATATATATATCTCACCTCTCCTAATCAGTGGATTTAGATGCCATGGCTCATGTTTTGCTTCTGGGTAACACTAAAGATACAAAAAAAAAAAAAAAAAAAAAAAAAAATGCCACGCTGACATAAAAACAAAACGATGAAAAGCAAAATGGAATGACTCGTAAAAGACGGAAAGCCATCATGTTCATATCCCCAATAGTTTTATAGTATTGCCAGAAAAAAACAGAACAAAAAAAATTGGAAATAAAAAAAGAATATGTATTTTCCTTATATGTATATCTATATATAAAGATCAGTTTGAACTAGTTGCAGGCAAGCAGAGAAGTTCTCTCCCGCCGCTTTAGGATCGATCCGCTCCACTGTTATAAGGCTGTCAGACTCTGGGAGGGTGCAGCAGCTTTCTTTCCTCAGTCAGATTCCCTGAGATGTAGAGCGCCGGTTATTTTATCAAGCTTCACTTTAATTGTACACCATCAACCACAAACCTCTTGCTCCCCCTTAAATAATGAAACAAAGAAACGTGTATTTTGGAAAACAAGTGCTTCTCTGGATCATGGAGTGTGGATGTAAAGCTGATGCTCGACTCTTGCCTCCCCTCCCAGCGGTGCCGAGTTTCACGTAGGGGAGAAGAGAAAGGGATGGGATCAATGGCCAGCGAAGAGGAAATTGCCCAAGTAAGGAGAAGAGCTCATGTTTACATCTCTGATGCTTTCATTCATTTCCATTTTTTATACAGTCAGATGCAAAGCAGTGTACAGGTTCAATCAGTCATCCCAAGGCTTGAGTAAGAAGTGTTTTTTTTTTTGTTTGTATTTTTTTTTTGCAAAAGAGTTCTTATGAAGACTCTTGTGTCTGTGCAGATTTCTTTTTGCACTTCTGTGTTCATCAGAGCGGCGTGGCGTTCTCAGTGCCTTTGAGAGGCTAATCTCTTTAATAGCGGCTCGTCGTAGACCCAGCACTCCCCGTCCTCATGGAACAGCTGGAGAAAACATGAGGCAAATCATTTAGTTTAAACAGCTTATATCACGACCTCATCTGCAAACGGTAACTAAACATTTTGTGATCATTTAAATCTCCTGCACAACTAAAGAGTCAAATTTCACTTTTGCCAATCACTTTGAGGGAAAACAGCGTAGTCGGAAACAAAATGTAAAAACTTAAAGGTTTTTCACACCCAAATCATACATTTGAATACATTTCTTTGAGGTTTTATGTGATAAAATGGATTCAACTAAGACACTGGGTTGTAACCAGGGCAAAGCTAGGCTAGAATGGCAGCAGAAGGCCGTGTGTGTGTCTGTCTGCTCTGGACTTTTGGATGTGGGCCTGGAGTCCAGAAGGCTAAAATCAAACAAAGCCAGTTCTCTTTACAATGTTTGTATAGAACGAGTGGAAAAGGAGTAAAGATGATCGCTACAGAGCCTCCTGTTATGCAGACAGTAAAACATCCAGATAGTATTTCTGCTAAATGTCAAGGTTATTAAACTTGGTAATTATTCTGATTGTGTATGTCCGGTTGTTACTTACAATTGTCATGATTATTATCAAAAGATTTTATTGTCTTATGAGTTAGTTTGTTACCATTTTGTCTATCTAGTATAATTTATTTTGTTGGTTCTTTAGCCCATTTTATTGAACAGGCAGATGAATATTATAATGTGGTTGTAATTACAAATTGTTCATAATTATTGAATGATTAAGTAATAAATTTAATTAAATTGAGGTAAGAGGCAGGATTAAATAAGTGTTCACTTCTTTTCTCCTTTTCAAACAGAAAAGTAGTGGTTAACTGATTATTTTGTTCTTGGTTATGCATTCACATGTTTTCTCTGTCCTGTTTGAAATAAATTAATCAAATCAAAGGTTTTGGCCACAGCTGTGGATTTGTGGCAAGAAGTCATGGGAAAAAAAAGCCTCACCCTAGTTTCCCACTGCTGCTCCTTCTCCTTCCTCTCTCTAGCCTCGGCTCTTTGCTTCTCCTCCAGATGATGTTTGGCCTCAGTTGCTGCATCGATGTTTTTAAGCTTCAGGTTCAGGGTCACGTCTCTCCATAGTCTAGAGCACAAACCCGGGTTAAAAATGCTCATGTCTGGATGGAGATATTTTAAAAGTTCACTTAAAATTTGCAGCCAGTTTTACCTCCGGGACTCGTACTCAAGCTGGTCCTCCAGTTTTCTCACTTTCTTCTTGATGATGCCCATTTTCTTAGTGTCTATGAACGTTGTGTTCTCCTGGGATCATAGAAAACATCTAGGTGTTACTTAGTGTGATGGAGGGGTAAGGCAGGATAAACACTTATGGCAGGAGAGACCGCGTTTTGTCTTTTTTCTTTTGCCAGGGACTGATCTATTTTTAAGGCACTTTTTGCAAACATTTACTCAATTAGTTAGTTCCACACTAATCAGTATATAAATATGGAACCTACAGAAGCCATAGAGTTAGAGAAAGAAGGAAAAAAAGAAAGAGACAGATGTGAAAATCCATGCTCAGATGAACATGACACTACAACGCCCACACTTTGTTTAAAAAGCAGTGAACATACCCAAACTGGTTGGATAAAGTTGTTTTTAGATATTCAAATGTTTATCAAGTTGAATAAAGTATATCTCTGAAATTGGTAAACACTAAAAATCATTTTATAGGTTTCCTTTCATTTTTGCCCTAGGAGAAAAGAAAACGCTTTCCAAGACTACGACTCCTAAACACATTGTTTCCTTTTTTTCAGAAATGCTCATCATAACTTCTGAACCCTACATACAAAATAAATAGTCTTGATGTTTTTTAGCATTCATCTTTATAAATATAAAGTCTTTAGATTAGGAAAGAAGAAGTAACAGCTTATTTTTAGAAAAGTAAAAGATACAAAGCTGCCTGGGTTTTATCTGAGGTGGAAGCGTTACAAAATCAGCAGCAATATCAATTGTGATGAAATCTTGTTTTCTGGGTCAAGTTGTTGGAAATTGTCAAATTTCTCACCTGAATACAAGTGATCTTCTAAAGATGGTGACATGTTTATGTACAAATATGTCCTTTCCATTTTTTTAAATAAATGCCACTATTCTCCTCAGTCCACAAAAATAGAGACTTTCTAAACTCTTAACTTTTTTTCTTCCAGACTTAATTAAAAAAAGAGCAAGAAAAAAAAGAAATGTTTCCAGATTTTTCCAAATTGACAAGAATATGAGTTCAATAAATTCAGGAGGACTTTTACTATCTGGGTTTGTTAAGGAATCATGTTGAGCAAGTTCACCGGCCCGCCCGAAACACCGAGGGGATTTGTTGCTGTAAGCAAATATCATACATAAACAATAATATTCCTGAGCAAAAAAAAAAAAAGAAGAAACAACTCACTCCAGTTGCCAGCTTGGAATACATCACTCCGTTCCATTCTCCTTCAACGGAGCAGAAAGATTTCTTGTCATTTGGCGCACTAGGGGAAAATAAAATGCAGAAAAATGTTCAAATATAATTCCACACACCTGGAAAAAATGAGTTTGAAAGTTGTTACAAAGCTTCATCATTCATCTTACAAAATCTCTGCTGTGACCCTGTGCTTCTTCCCGCCGTAGAAAGGTTTGGTGTGGAACACGATGTTGGCGCTGTAGCCTGACTTGGAGCAGGATATGTTGCACTCTCCACCCAACTCCACCCACGGCACTGTCAGAATTGACCTGCGGAAACGGTCTAATGATCAGAGAGGTCCACTGCAACCAACGTCCAGAGACGGCATGGGCAATGGTGCAGCACATACCTGCCATATCCATTAGGGAAGGTGAGGATGTAATGCTCATCATGCTCCAAACATGACACACAACCTAGATAGCAACCAGAACATAAATATTAATACATCATTATTATTCTCTGCAAGCATGTTGTGTTTGAGGAGGAGTCTCCAATACCTTGACCGATGTTGTGGACACCTATAGACATGCCAAGGAACTTTGACTTCGTCCAGATGTGAGCATTGAACTGGATCTTCTTACTTAAACACTCCGCGTAAAATGCAGAAACTACATGGAGAATAAAAGAACAAGATGATGGTGAAGTGAACGAAAAACCAGCCGGATAAAACGCTGCTTTCAGCAAAATGTCTCAGTTTTCTGGATCTTAATCACTGAAAGGTTGAGCAGAGAATGCTGAGATGAGGACGCATGGTGACTTACTGGGTGGGTGGTGAGAGACCTGCTCTGCCACGAAACATACACTGCTGGGAGAAGACCAGGGAACTGGACCATCTGATACCGACTCCTGGAAAAGTCCAAACAAAGCACAAGTCAGACACAAGGAACATTAAACACTAACCTGCTACTTTATGTTGGATTATTTTATAAAATCCTAATAAGGTCTTTAAATTTCCTGGATACAGGGAGATAAAATTTGAAAAAGTTTAAATATTTTTGCAAGGCTTCTTTAAAGTCTAAAATAAAGTCAGGATTTTCTCACCGCAGGTGTAGAAGCTTCTTCTTTCTCATTTGGAAGATCCCAGTGGCAGAAGAAGACTTCACCCAGGATCGGGTTGTAAGGTTTTTTGGCCACTGAGCCTTTCCTGCCTGCATGGAAAGCGGACAGGTACCACTTCACCACCTGAACCATGCGTTCCCTGGGCTCCGGCTGGTCGGCGATACTAGTCAGGCATGCAGAACAATAAGGTTAAAAGACCGTTACAAGTTCTGCATCATGGTTCCTCTGCAGAAAGAGTCGTCACAATATACGCACCTTACAAATAAATCAGGATGTGCAAAGAAGTCTGCATACATCTCCAACAAGGATCTCCTCTCTAGGATGAAAGTAGGCAGGACCACCTGGCACAGAGTGAAACAAGGACGAGATAAATTTAACATTTACGTTACGGCACCAAAGTTCAGGATGGAGCAGCTGAATATCAGGTGCTTACTTTAGTGAGGTCCATGCCTAAACGAACTTGTGAGAGCAGATGCATGATTACGCTCTTGTGCTCTTCCACAGACTCTCCCTCACCATCGTCATCACGGTCATCATGGCTGTCAAACATGTCTGAGGACAGCAGCAGATCTCTTAGTTGACTGGAACATCAATCATATGTCTTTATCGAATTATTGGATGAGTTCAGGGAATATCCTTGTATACAGTGCCTATAAAAAGCTTTCACCTGAGCATGACTGTATCTCAAGTGACTGGTTAATCAGTACTCCTGGCTATCATTACAGCATGGATGCAAATGAACATCTTCATAGATCATCAGTCCATCCTGACAAACTCAGTGACCACACAAGAAGGAGACTAGCAAGAGTTTATTTGAAGATGTATTGAGCTAAACATGGGGCAATCTGGGAATAAAAGCCTAGAATGACTTTAAAATTCATGTTCTCAGGCACTCGCCATCTAATCCGTATATCCTTGAGTCATTTTGTAAAAAAGGAATCAGCAAAAACTTCAGCAGGCAGAAGTGCAAAAGGTGGCCAACATGTCAGAAAACACAGGCAGTCTATTGGGATATGTGTCTGCCACACTTCTGATTTTTGTTAGAAAAAACATAAAAGAAAAACTGATGATCATGCGTTTTTTCTGTTCTTTCATAATTAGAACCTACTTCATGATCATCTGTCATATAAAAATTGTAGCTAAATGAATTGAAGTTTGTGGTTGTGATGGGGAAAAGAGTCAAAATGGTCAAACAGTATAAAATATTTGAACAGGATCCTGTATTTCTGACATGTTGAAAACCATATTTGCTACAACCCTCCATTTCTTAACAGGAGCTTCAGCTATAAGCTTAATGAACATTTTGAACATACTTTTTAATATCTTTTCACTACCGTCTGTCTGTTACCTGCATCTGTGGTGCCATTCGACATGGTTGAGTTGAGGGACTCTGTGGTTCCGGGCCTTTTTAACGATGTCTCTTCGTTAGCGGCGGTGGAGGCAGCAGAAGGCCCTGAGGTACTGGGGGCAAGACGAGGAGACAGACGACAAAAAAAAGAAGATGGACGAATGAAGTGATTAAGCTGAAGTACAGAGGCAATCTTAGAGGATGCAGCGGGACTTTTAAGGAATCTAAGCAAAACTGAAATGACTATCCTGCTTTCAATGCACAAAATAAATCCACAGTAGGTGGTGGAAGATGCAAAAACACTCACTCTGCGCAGTGTTTGGGTGAAGTGCTGCTCTGGTAATACTCGTCAGCATCATAAAACTCATCCTCGCTGGAGGAGTAGGAGAAGTCTGGCACTGAGTGTGAGGGTAGGGGGATGTGAGTTGGAGAGGCGACGCCGCTGCTGGGGCCGGACGGGCCACTCCCTGACGGACCAAAAACACAAAGCGGACATCAGAGTTGGTATGATGGACGGCTCGGCTCGGTTTATGACGGATAAATCAACTAGAGGATGAGCAAGCAGCGCACAGAAGCATTAACATAGTGACTGCTGCCTCTGCAGAGCATAATGACTGCACAGTCAGGCATGGAGCGAGCATCCTTAATGCATAGCACAGCATTTTAATACTGCTGTCTCAGCACAGGAGACACACAGGCTGCAAACTTTGCTTCTGGACGTGGCTTCTTTAATTTACCTAATGTTCACCGCAGACGGTGCGCAACAATAAATAACAACCCCTTTCTCCTCAGGTGGTTTCCTTCTCATTTTTGATAATTTAATCACATCGCATGAAAATATTTTAAAATGAATTCACAGCAGGATCCTTTAAGAAGCAAACACTTAGAGGATCCTGGTGTTTAAAAATTAAAATCTGAAAATGTAAAAGTCTGAATGAACTTTGGTTATTTTTAATGTTCAAAGACTCAGGAAAATTAGTAAACAGCACATTAAAATTATTCATTTGTAGCACCACAGAAATAACTTGTCGGAAATGAAGCAATTTAACCATAAAATACAGATAAAAAACATCATTAATTAAAAGTTTGGTGGGATATAAACCAAAAGTTGACGTCACCGTTTACATTTCTTATATAACTGTGAAAACCCTTTGTTAGAGATTTAACATTTCTTAAATCTTTAAACATGGATGAGAGTTTGACCAAAAAAAAGCCTGTCCTCTGCATCTCAAATCATTTCCTCAACCAATCACCAAACATATGTATTGAAAAATTATTGAGGTTTAAAGTTAGTAATGGGATTCATTTTCCCGACTTGTGAGAGCAGAAGGTAGGAGCACAAACTGCTCTTGCTGCAATTCTCATTCTGTTGATCTTAACTTTGACTCAATAAAATATGGAATAACTTTGCACATTTTTGTTGTTTGCTACTGAGGTACAGCATGTTAAAACCTGGTAAACCTCCAGGTTTTAGCAGAAGGTATACTCGGAATTGCTATAATTGTTATGCTATCAATTGATAACATAACAATTGATACGTTATCAATTAATACACAATTGATAACATATTGTGTATTAATTTTGCTGCGAGAATCGGCAAACAATGAAAACCCACCTGTGCTGTTGGGAGTTGGGGTCTGCAGACTCCCCATCACTGTGACCACGGGACCAACAGGCAACGTGGAGGGTCGTTGGTCTGATTTACACACCTGAGAAGCGTCTGTTGCAGGAAAACAAAAGAGAAAGCAAATGAGTCTGAGCAGACGCCCTAGAAGGAAGCCAGATGAAATTAACACCAGCATCTCATTATGAGAGACGCTGCAGACGAAGACACCAGCTGCGTTTGAGGCAACTGACATTTTGCACTTTTGTTTTCACAGCAGTTTTAAACAGCCGGGTCAGAGTCCTCCAGTTAAACTTTGTCACATCCGAGGATTTTATACAATAAAACCAGAAACAAACTCAAGTTTTAAGAAAGTTTACAACTCACTGATTTTACTATAAAATGTGCAGCTCAGTTAAAAACTGAATAACGGGGAGTATTATCACCTTTGAGCTGATCGTGCAACATAAACCACTTATCAGAGTGTGACTTGTGTGTGAGTACCTGTAGGTAGTGTGGTCTGTGTTGGCATTGTGGTGTTTACTACAGGGTCCAGGGGGGGCTGGTAGATCCCATCCACTGGGTTGATCGTGCTCTGTGAAAATAAGGGAATAAAAACCCAAGTTCAGCAACACAAACACCTGCCTGACTGGTCAAAACACACCTCAGACACTGCCTGCTTATAGTTTAAAACAACGCGTGTGTCTTAATATTGACTCAACATGAAGACACGTGTGTCTTCATATTGACTGGACAAAACATGTGAGCTGGTTATAGATCAGATTATTGGTAGACCAAAGCATTAACAAGAGTGCTGCACTGAAACGCCCCATCTAATCTGGAGAGATCGATTCCCTTTCACCCTATGTCCTGGAGAGAATGACGGGATTAACTACTGCAATCAATATGAAGCCGACCAGGCTGCAGGACAACATAGAAACCAGCAGGACAATAACGAGGATGCCTCCAATGTAAAAAAAAAAAAAAAAAGAAAGAAAGAAGAGATTTTATACTCCATCTCATGATTTCCCTGTTGTACAAATCAGAAACACATTTCAGATCATGTGTCCATGATGACTAGAGGTTAGCTGTATTGGAGGCAACTCAGTGCAACCTTTACAGCAGTAGCATAATCTTCCAATGACAAATCTAACAAAATTAAAACTTAAAATATTGAATATTTATTCGGAAATCATTACTTTAGTCTCCTATAAAATTTCACAAGGGTTGAGTATTCACAGGGGACGGGATTTTATCCATTCCTTTGCCTAATATCTCTAGATCATCCTGAGTCATGAGTTCACTTTATACTTTTCTCTCTTGAGCTCACATCTTAGAAGATTCAGGTCTGGGAACTGAGATGATCATGAAAGGTGGATTTTGTCACTTCTGTGTTGATTTGGTCATATCTTGGATTATTACCATGTAATGACAGAATTAATCAGATTGGTATTTAAAGTGTTCTGGTATTCCAAAGATTTTATACAGTGATACACTAAGAGTTTCCAAGTCAATTTAGAGAGAAACAGGCCCATCGCAATATGGACCTTGATAGAAGGAGCGATGTGCTTTTTTCCTTTTGTAGCTGAAAAGCTCTAACTGAGTCATTTAAACAACTCCATTTAAAACCCAAGAAGAATTAGGCAAAATTAAACCATTTATGTTTTTCATGGTAAGAGAGAAAATGCTAACTAATGCCAAATAACTGTTTGGCTCTTAAGGTGATCCTGAGTTTTGCTCACTGTGTGTGGTAATAATTGGGTCCTGATCCAGTCCAGCAATTGCCAATGAGACAAGGAACTCCAGGTTTTATCATATTTGTACCATAGGGAAAACATAATTGATTATTCATTAGAAACTCATGATCAAGTAAAAACAAAAAGAAGAGTACATTAAGTAAAGATTTTTGTTACATCCATATATCCAGTAAGCAATCATCCTCAAATTAAAGGTTGGATTTGTCCAAAATTGTCAATGTTGGACTTTTTTTTTACTGTAATTTAGGGTCAGTAAAGTTAAAGATGTTTTCCACTCTTCTACAGGAGTGCTATGCACAATACTTTGCAATGCCTTTTAAGTTTAACGCAGTCCCGGCATCCAGTATCCTCACTGACTGGAACATGGACAAACCCAAACAGGAAAACAGGATCATATCGACCTGTGATTCAGCTACAGCTCACCCTCAGGGCTCTTGGTCACAAATAAAATGGCCTTTTGTCATTACAATTTGGGAGGTTATTGCTTTAACTTGACCTACAGCAATTTAAGCAGCTTTTTCTTCTGTTAAAATTTACAGAAAGAATAACTGCCACAAATGTGGTGAGTTCTTATTGATTTTGCCTCAGATAAAGCTGAGGAGAAAAATATAATGTGATATCTTTTTCTTACAGAAAAATAATTCGAACTACAGGATCTCAAACTGTGATAAGAGCTCCACACATTTGAGTTCATGCTTCGTTCTCCACTCTGCACGCCTTTGTCCTGATGCCTTTGAGAAAAAAAAGTAAGTCAAGGGCTACTAATTATAGCCAAACAAAGAAATATTAGTCTGTCATGATATGGGTGGTCAATCTTTGGCTCCAGCAAGCAGGAGATGACTCAAAAGCAGATGGAGATGCGCAGTTCAAGTAAAGTTAGAGCTAAGTAAACCAATTAATTTCTTTTTGATGCGAGTGTAATATCAGCGCAGCTAGCAGCTGTAGTTAAACCCACTATATGTTGTTCATGGCTAAATACAATTTACTGTTTCTCCTTTTAGTTTAAAGAATCTCTTAAATTTAGAGCATCTTTCCCACAGTGTAAGAACAAGGTGGACTATCAAACATGCTGTTAGTGTTTCAAGCTGCAATGCATCAATTGTTTTCTGCACTTTACAAAAACACAGACAACGTGGCATACTTCTAGTGGTGAAAAAGCTGCAGACAAATCTCAGGCAGGAAGCTTAGGAAACATAAAACGGGCAGCTCTCGGGGTAGACGGAGGTTAGGCTGTGCTATTTATATCACATAATACTTTACTTAATGACTATGGGATTATATCTGCTATAAGAGCAGACTTCCACAGTGTGAGGAGTCCAGCCTCTGTCAGATTCACAAATCAGAGGAGATGCCGGACATTTTCTGTGTGTTAAACTATTATGCACAAACTGTTAGCATTTTCCAAAGCATTCAAAGAGCTTTCAGATTGATTTTCTGCTTCCCTCACCTTCATGTCTCTTCCACTGGATGATTCTCCTTTTCTCTGCCCTCCCTTTTCCATGGTACTTCACCTCATACGATATGATACCTAACTAAGAATAGAGAAAAGTTTCCATTTCTTACAAAAGTATTATAGAAAGTGAGCTGTAAGCAAGAGTGGAAAATATCCACTTTTTGTAGTTCCCCATTGAAAGCATTGTGGTTGTAGTCTTTGAGGTCTGCTTTAAAGGCCCAATAAGCCACATAGTCTAGCAAGATTTCATTCACACCTAACCTATAATTCAACATTATTTGTGACAGATTGTACTTTTACTCCACCTTACTTCATCCTAACAGGAGGCTGGACATGAAGCTGAGCGTGTAGACTGAGAAATCAGCCTAAAAGCCTAAAGTGATTGCTTTGGAAAACTGATGAGAATAGTGGTAAGTAAACATGCCTGAGTCCTGGAATGGCCTAGAATGTGAACACGGTGCACCTGCAGAGCCTGCAAAGTGCTCTTTGGATGGCTTTTCTGGCTATTAGTGCTCAGAAATTCAATAAGCAGGCAGTGTGAGCGGGCTCAATCAATGCTGCATAATGCTGGCTTTAATTTCAGGGTGAAGTGATGTGTAACACGCTCAGATCAGGTATGACAAAAAAAAACATGCATGCTTCACATTAACATACATTAACATACAGTGTTTTGCAAAAGGATCATAAAATTATGCCCCAAACTTCAATGTATTTTTGTTGAGATTGTATATGATAGGCCAACACAAATGTATCTCATTATTGAGAAATTGAAGGGAAAAACTTAAACAGCGATAAATAAAATCCCGTGGCACCAGATGCAAATCTTGTCATGATCATCTGTAAAAACGTGAAACCCAACCTGGATCCCTGTTGCTCCACTTTACAATTATGCAAATAATATACAAAACTCTACCAAGTCTTACACTTGGTTGAACACAGCTATATTTCCAAAATCAGAGTAAAGGGAGTTAAATAAAAATCCAGGGCCTGATTTAAACCTACTTGGTGTCGGTTTTTCATATAAAATCTCAGTCACTTACATATAAGTTTGAGGATTTAATGTGACAAAAAGCAAAACAATTCAATGATTATGGAATATTTGGTAATGCACAGTATACTATGCAAAAATACAAACAGTATTACATGCATGCATATTTTGTGCTGTGATGAAGGATAGTTCCCAACCATTGCTAAAAGGAATTAAACTCGGATTAAAACAGGAAAGTTTTAATCAAGAAGATAGCAGCGGCAGATATGAGAGGAAAGAGCTTAAGGTAGAGCTTATGTCCAAATTAGATGGCATGCTCTAAAGATCCGATTTATTAGCTTCGCTAAAGGAGAGGGTAGATTATGTCAGAAAAAAAGTCAGAAGTTTCGTCTGATTTTAATTGTTTTTCATGGACAGGAAAATGTTGAAACTTACTATAAGTCCGTTTGCGTGTTGTTGTTCGTTACTTTGGTCCTTAAAATTTTAAGAAGACAGTGTTAGACTGCTTTGGGTACAAAGGTTCAAGAGTCAAGTCAAAAAGCATCCTGACTGAGAATCTCAGCTTCAGTATGTTGCCGTTTGCAGTGATCGTTTTATCACATGTTTAAACCTTTCGTGTCATGTCCCATTTCTCCAAGTTTCTAAAGTACAAGTCGTCACACATATGGACCACATAAAACACCAGTAAACTCCCCACTTCCTTTCATACAGCTGAAAGGAACATGTGATGAAACGAGCACTGGGCCACACCCTTTGTCTTCCATCGACCTAGATAGCAACTATGAGCGGGAACTACCTTACAGACCGGACACAGAGCATACACACACTCATGTGCTTTCACAAGTTATTACAGAAAAGACCAATGTCATGGCAACCCACAGAGAGAGGTGTTCAGACATGCAGTCAAGCGGTTTACCTTGGCAATTTGCAGCAGAACAATACAGTGCTTGATGGACTCTACCATATTCTGAAGGAGAGAGAAAACAAAAATCTGTTAGAAAGGAACTGACTTCCAGACTTAACAGGAAGTTTGAAAATACAGAAAAGTAGATATGCATGAGTTAACTTACACAAGTAGTCTCCTTCAAATTTTCTATTTTCTAACAAAAAAAAAAAAAGAAGAAGAAAGCATACCATTAGATTTACAAGGTTCCTAAAGAAGGACTGCTGATAAACCCTGAAACGGCAGCATTAGGCAGCATTTGGAGAAAAATTTCACGGTTAAATATGTCCAACAGCAGCCGCTCTTTTGTTTTCGCCAACAAGATAATTTTCAAGAAAAACAGATCTGTTGTCACTTATTCACAGCTTCCAGGTGGAAAATAGTGGTAAACACTTGGAACTCTCAACAAAACCAAAAATAGCAAATCATCATAAAGGTTCCAACAAGAGAAGTTCCTTGGAACGGTTTCCAATTTTAAACACCATTTCCCAGGACTCAGAACATTTTAGAAAAAAACAACAACGTAAACTCAAGCTAAATGGCAGCCATTTGCCCAGAGATTTCTGTTATTTAGGTCAGAAAGCAAAACTTTCAAATTTTAGATCATAAAAATGAAAATTTAAACAGACAAGGCAAAAACTGCTGTAACAACAGTCACAATCATAGTAGTTTATTTTGTGAAATACAAAAAACTGTGACCAACACTTCTCATTTGCAGTTTATTTTTATTTGCGGTACTGTTACCTCTGATATATTTGTAGCTCCTCTCTTTTTATTTAAAGTAAAAGAAATATGTTCCTTCCTCTATGAATGAACTTGAAGTGATAAAGATTGGACGTAATTCTGCATTTCGCATAAATGTGCGAACCTTTATAGTAGCTAGAAGCCATCCAAGGTAAAGATGTATGGCAATATTTTACTGTAGTAGCATAAATTACACAATAAAATATGTTTGAGCATATTTAGTGAAAAAAAAGTGCAAAGAAACTTAATTTATAATGCATAACTTCTCGTTTCCCAAATGTATGAATATGAATCAGAGCAGCTCTTAAAACAGGAAAGTCATTCCAGTGATACAGATGTGTACTGATGTTTGAATGTATGGGAACAGTTATAAGAGAAAATCTGTTCCCTTAATTTTGCCTATGGCTACTAAATTAATTTGAAATTTCTAACAATTAATCACAGATGAGGCTGGATGAGAAACTAGTTTTATCGCTACACCACACATAGTGAAGATGATGTAACTGAGGTAACAAACATCAACTAAAAACATTGTGAAGTTCACTGTTAGAGAACAGGACATTTTTAGAATGAGATTTTTCCACTGCAAGAAAATGTATATTTTAATAAGCTAATTAAACATTTATCTGCATGCTTGCAGTTTAAATACAGTGATCCGAGGATAATCTTTCACCAAATAATATTTGGTTGTTAAAAGTTATTCTACAATCAAATTATTAGTGCAAATGGGTCATAATAACATTTTATTAATCTTTTTTTTTAAATCAAAGCTACCAAACAACCTGCAGCAGAGCAGACCAGAGCTCATCTGCGCAGGTGTAACAGCCTCTAAATTGCATTTAGTAATTATGTCAGGGGTCTATTGAAAGAGAAAACACAAGAGCAGAGGTCTGAGACAGAGCACTGCTGGTACTCACTCTGCGTGATTCATCCTCTTTGCAGTCCTTGATCTTCTCATCAAACAGCTGTTTGAGAACAGGAGATGAAAAGGTGGGAAAAGGGACAGATGAGATAGGAGCAGAGATGTTTCCAGTCAACAGAGTATTCAGAAGGATCACAGAGTATCTGCAGCCTGCAGTTGACTTTAGATAATATGGTGTCTGACACAATGGAGCCATGAAGTGTTTTTATAAAGACAAAGGGTCTTAATAAAAACACTCAACAAGCAGAGGAGAGATTGTGCAGCTGCACTACTTTCTGCCTTGTCATCTTGTCACCACAACTCTGTTTTATAAAATTGCTGGTTTAAAAAAAATGAACAAATTACAAAATAGAGCCTTGTTTTACTTATGGAACAATGTGATCATTCAGGATACTTTAAATGGTCAAAGATATTCTATAACTGGATCAAAAATAAAATGGGACATATTGATTTCTCAGTCTGATAAAGTTTCTCAGTCTGATATATAAAGTTAAAGATAGATTGTCACATCTCTGCCAAAAATAAAACCTTCCAGCTCGGACGCTCCATCCTACCTTCAACTGGTCGATTAGGATCTGTAGGTAGGCGTCAGCTTCAGCTAGCTTCTTGTCGAAGTCTTGCACACTCGGAACGAGTCCTGTCTCAGCCTCCTGCAGAGAGGAAAACAAACAAAGCAAACCATTAATGCAATCTCTGAGACTTGTAGTAAAAGCCCTGCTAGTTTTGCATATTCAAAGCAAAATGTGCAGCCAGGATCAATAACCAAGAGCTGTCCTTTCATGAGATAATGGCTCGACTCCATCGTCTCATGACCAGACGGGTTTTGTAAATGGGAGCAGAAAACAGTGGAAACATCAACAGTTCAGGGGAATCTTCCAGCAATGTACTGTACTACGTGAAATACAATACCAGGAGTATTGTCAAAAGGCGAGCCTGCGTGAATAACCAACATAACCACATTTGTCAGGCTTCAACAAAACTAAAAACTAAGACAGACACAGCTGCAGAACTGAGCCGCTGAGCACAGATGGGCTGAGGTGCACTCAAATTTATTGTTTGTTAATTAGTTTCCCTTAATAGCCTCTAGCCTTCACGTATGCATGCACACAGAGAACATTTCATTACATAAGATCCATTAAAAGGCAATTACTGAACTACAGGCAAAACAAAGAGGACCACACAAGTTTCTATCAGTCAAAGCTCACCCAAGCACTGGGGACATGAAAAAGTCTGACAAATGAACGTACAGGGAAGAAGATCTGCTTGGCAGAAAGCTACAAAGGCTGAACACCCAAATTTAGCAGCAGTGATAACAATAACCCCTGTACATCAGGCAACACCAGTGATGACTAATGAGCCATGTGTCAGAGCAATTTACTGTAACAGCAGTCTGTTTGGTTTTCAAAAGAAAAAGCAGACAATTCCAGAGAAATGGTCTCAGAGTAGATAGGAATCAACTGAATCTTAAATCCTCTTAGGAAATCAAGCTCTTATCAAACCATTGAGAGAGCAGCCGACATCGCCTTGGGTTTGCTGCGCCGCATATTCCTGCCATCTCCTCTTCCTATAGTCTGGGATTTCATGGGAACGTGAAGAAAAGCCATTAAACCGGAGCAAAACATTAACATCTGTCCAGGCCTGAGAACTGCTTAGGTTTAAACTTGTTAGCTTTACTGAGAGCAAAGTCCATTCTGCAGCCCTGAAGCATTCACTTACCATGACAATTTTCCTGAAAGGATCAAAGGTGCATGTTTTGCTACTTCAGTTGGCTTACAAAATAAGAAAACAAACCGTCTGCTGGAGAACCTGAGCCAAAAACTGAAATATTACATTAAAGAATAATGAGTCGCAAATCCTTCCAGTAATGCATGATGACTGACCTTAAAACCAACAACGCAGGGATCAATACCCAACCGTGAAAAATGATCTCAGGTGATCAAACAAGCGCAGGCAGTGAACTAAAGTGAACTTGAATGAATTACGAAATGGTGATTCTAAGTGAGTTGGCAAAACCTAACCCTAAATAAAGCCATGAACACAACTTAAACTAATTCTTTTTTTTTTTTTTTTATTTCGGGAGAATCATGTCACACAACAAACTTAGAACATTATTAATTTCAGCACACTTATTCCTGTGGGAAAAAAACAAAACAAAACAAAAAAAAGCCAATGTAAAGTAAAGCTTTCAACAAAAATCAGCACTAAATATTGTACCTTGAAATGTATAGAACAAAACATACCCAGTTTTTTCAATTTTTTGTGAGTGTTAATGCTGTATTTTTATAGAGTAAAGATAATATAGTTTATTTTACTCAGAAGTCGTTCTTTTGAACACTAAGGAACAAAGTACACAAATTTCTCCTTTTAATTTTACACCTATGTATTTCAAAAATGCATTCACTCTATTTTTGTCTAAGGAATACTTTTTTTTCTTATTTTCAGAACCTATAAGAAGAAATTAATTTGAGATTCTCTAACAGAAGTACAAACCCATTTTATTTAGTAGGCACTTGATGGTTTCCAAAGGTTTTAGAGTTCAGAAGATTTTCTTTAGAAAGTTAAAATGTCTCTTTTGACTGGAAAGGGTGCTGAGCTCAGATGTAAACATAAAAAGAAATCTATATAGGTCAGGAACTTCTGAGGTTAAACACCGTGATAAACTAACATAGATCACTATTATTATGCGGAAAACTAAATCTTGTGTTTTGTCAACATGTACGATGGCAGGTGGGGGGAGGGAAGTTCAGGAACAGAAAGTCAGCTGCAGGTGGTTGGTTTAAAAACAGCCGCTGAACAGCCACGTCACTCCTTCACTGTTCCAGAAATATTCCCAGACGTCTGCACTTCCACTCTCACTCATTCCCACCAGCCAGATTCCTCATTTCTGCCCCACAGATGGAAACTTTCAGAGCAAGGACACACACTTATAATCATCCACCCAATCTGGCTACAGAAAACAACACTGTCTCCAGAGCTCAATCCCCCCCACCACTCCTCACTATGTATTTATCTTTCCACACTGTGTGACCCACTTTAAAACGCTGCCGCCCCAGCGACACGCAGCAGATGCTCGAGTTGCGTGTTGTTTTTGTTTGTTTGTGTGTGTGTTTTACTTACAGTGTACCTCGCTCCAATGAACATGCTGCATCAAACCTTGTGCATCTCTCAGGCCATTTAGCCTGACAAGCCTTTTTCCCCTCCTCCTCCAATCACTCTGCCTCTGTTATGAGCTTTTTTTTCCCCCACAGCGACAAAGCGTGAGCTCCAGTGATGTTAGCATTATGTCTCCCTCCTCGTCTCATACACAGAAACAAAGACCCTCCTTCTCTTCGAGAGTGTGCAGCTAGTCAAAATACTCTTGAGCAGCAGGTATCAGCTGACTATTTGGTATGAGGCAGACAGAGCTGAGTTAATCCAAGACCCTCCCCTGCCAGGAAGGGCACACTTCCTCTCTCACAGGCAGAAGGAAAACCACACAGCACACAAGCACTAAGAGAAACTCTGATTGGCTGCTGCGGCAGAGGCAGATGTGCTGTTGATCAAGCAACCAGATCTGGGATTGGTCAGCGCTGGCCACATGATCATACGACAGAAACTCGCATAAATGCACGTACGTGTGTGTTTGTGTGTGTGTGTGTTCGGTAAACGAGCAGACACACGTAGCACATCGGAGAGATTTGCTGTGAAGGGAGGAGGGAGAGAAGCAGACAGAGGAGGTAAGGGAAAGGGCAAATGACAAGGTTGATTGTAAGCATAAAAAAGAAGAGAAATTGAGCTGGGAGAACTGAATATTATCAGAGGATGGAGGGAAGACTCATGGATGGTTTAAATTAAATGAGAACAGCTAAGAGGTATCTTAAAAATGAGAGAAAGTAAAGATGCAGAATAAAACTCCAGCCTAGCCATCCATCCATCCATCCATGGATGTCTAGCCAAAAACAAAAATCAAACAAACGGAGACAAAACAAGGCAGGCATAGGGTCAGTTATAAGCCAGACTCTTAAATAAACTAACAAAGAAAGATGTTGTAGTGCTTAACATGTTCTGTCTAACACCATCCTTCATGATGCCGCTACATAACCAACTTTTCACCACCTCTTACCACCTCTAGCTTTTGAAAAAATAACTCAGCAACTAGTTCAAGGATGAGTTCATCCGTACTAAATTTAACTAGATCATGTTATACAGTAAAGTGTAGTGAAAATTTGGATGCACATCACCTGAGATATTAGAGCCAGTAATATGCTACATCCAAGCATTTCTTTGGAAATACAAAGCACACAGTGGGATTGTGCAGCTCTGACTGGTCCAATGACAACATGTAGAAAATAAACATCCTTACAATCCCGACCATTTTGGGACACATAAGAAAACATACATTAGTTCAAAACAATTTTATCTATGACAAAGGTTGCAGATTAAAAGGTAGTGAGATGTTGATAGATAACATTTCCTCTTATTTTTATATTCATCTCACTGCATTTGTAAGTGGTTTGGCAACATGTTACATCGTGCTGCCTCTCTCCCACCATTTTGAAAGCATATTTAATAGTTAACTTTACAAAAAAGCTGCTTCTGGTGTCAGTTTATGGGATGAGTTGTTTCCATTAAGTCTTTGGGTTCAGTTCTGCTTTCAAGCATTAAGGATTAAGGTCTGCTGTAGCAAAATATTTTCTTTTTGCTAAAGCACAATTAAATCTCAAAGACTCAAGACAACATCTGTGCAGCTGTATTGGCTGCTTTTCCAGAATAATTAAGTAAAAAAGTTTGAAAAAAGATTTTCTCTAAGCAGCTTTAGCAACTCATACTGACACTTCGATCTTTGCAGATAGTGTGACTGCAGTGTGTGCGCTCCAACAATGTATCTGCAGAACCCTGTGTGTAGGAATGAGTCAATTTATTTTTAATGGTTCAGGGTTAAAGTGACGAGAAAATGAAACACCTTTTTGCACATAATAGTTCCCAGCAAACCCAGCAGTGCTCTGATTTGCAACAAGTGTCACAATTTAAAGGGCAAGACTCTGCTGCAAATTGATTCTGCCTTGATCCAGGCAGAATCTGCAGGGTCAAGGCAACTGGATCATGGAACTTTTCCTTAAAGAGGAAAAGTTAATAGAAGCTGGAAGGCATTGCAAAAATATTGAATTAAGGAATTAAAAATTGACTTTTTCATTGATTTTGGACATTACGTTCATGATCACCAGCTTGTTAAATTCACCACGAGTGATGCAGGATAACAAGGCCTTGCCAAGAAAATCTTTTTCCCTTGATTTACATTTTAAACACATTTTTGTGGTAGTAAATGTTTATGAATTTTCAATCATAAATTGTATGTAGCCCAAAAGTAAATATTAAGAAAAAAATGAACAGACTGACATTTAGAACTCACAGTTATGTTCATCCTCCAGCTTCATTTCCATCCTGAACTTTGTAGCCGTATTGTCATACTTAAAAAGTCACAGCTTGTTTGGTTTAAAGAAAAACTGCACACACTAGTGCTAACAGGCAAGTGAACATCAAGGATCCCCACACCAATGTTGATTTTGCTTGTCAGCACACAGCCATATGCATACAAACAGGGTGGTTTGCTACGTACCCGGAGCTGGAGGGTGTGACGTAGGATGGTTCCCTCTAAGGCGTGGATCCACTTTTCACGTTCGTCTGCATCTCGAGCTGAAGGGAAAAGTGTACAGAAACACACCCTGTGAGCCATATTTTCCATAAAGACAGTCAGATCAGAAGCTGTGTTTGAGTCAAACATAAATGACAGCAGGACACAACACTGAGATGATATGAACACTGGGGAACACTGAAATGAAAAGAAACTATAGCTGACATTTACAAGATCCACTTTGCATTTTCTAGCTCCTACTGCAGAAGAACATCTAATCCCGACACAGACTCCTTATGGGGAAAAAATCTATAAAAATACCAAATGCAAATTGTCAGAATATACCAACCTACAAATTATAAAACATGAGCTTCACTATCTGAACCGAAATAAAGTAGTAAAAGTAAGTTTCTGATAAAGCAAAAAGTTATTCTGGTGATGTATGTGAATGGCAATAAATTGCATGGAAAGGCCTAAAGTCATTCTAATCTCTGTGTTGATTTCCAACATTTATCCTTTGCTTTCATGAAGAGGCTGCAGCCTCTGAGCAGAAAGCAAACAGGCCAACAGTGACATTAAACAGGGATTCTGTGGAAGCTGTGGTACATGCAGGGCTCACTGCACACCCTTCCTGGCTACTTCCTGGTGTCCGTTTTGTCCATTTTTTATGGATGTCAATGTTCTCAGGACATTTTATTAGACAGGACATATCTTACATATGCGTCTTTCATATATTTGTAAAACTGTACATCCAAGGCAGCTTTTATCAGGCTTTTCCACAAGCAGGAGGTTGTCCAATGTAATAAAACCTCAACGCGAAAAGCTGCAACCTGCTCCCAACACTGGCTAGTTAACTGCATACAGGTCACTTTTCACTCAAATGAAAGCAAGACTACATCAGATGAATGACTGTGCAAGCATGGAGGCTGAGCCATGCTATTGCTGAAAAGCTTTTAAAGACATTAAAAGGCAGCTGAGGCTCACTCCAATCCACTTAGACACTGCCTCAGTGGCCTCTCACTTTCCCCCTTTGCCAAACAGACTCACCAAAGAAGCAGATTAGGAAAGCTAACGTTGTTTAGCTGCTATTCATGGCAAAGATGAGACAGTGGCACTGCCATTCAAGAAAAACAACGACCCAAGCTCCAGGAAATGATCTTGTCTGTGTTTTACATCCATTCTACAAATTACTTTCAGAGGTAGGTGTTTGCACTGATGCTCTAAGTAGCTAACCACCTACATGAATGCTGTCGCCAGAAACAACAGCAACACGAGAAGCAACCCCACTGACCTGAAGAGTTACTTATTCAAACAGATTACGAGTCATTTAAACATTTGCCTGATGACAAGCCAAAGATTTCTAACTTTGACCTAACTATCCAATAACCTGGTGAACGTTTGTCAACAGATGTAGGTCACACAACCACCTAAAATCCCACAAAGATATAAAAATGAAATTATGTGTTTTCATTGTTGTCCTGTGTAATAACAATCAGGCATTGTATGAGCAGAAAAAAAAAAACTAAAGTCACCAACCTTAGTATTTTTGCCTCGGCAAGACACCAGCGCTTTAAGGAGTCGCTTTAAATCTGCAAGAATGTAAGGCGGTCTTAAGGCTCAGCTGCAATAGTGCCATAACAGAGGACTGTGTGCAGAGTAAACCCAATTACTCTGGGCTCTGATGCCCCTCTGATAAAGATAAGTACAGCGAGGCTTTCAGAAGAACACAAAGTAAAGTGACTGTACAAAACATGAGAAGCTACTGTGTTTTCAGTCACAGTTGCCTAAAAGTAACAGTAAAACTGTGGCTAAATTATACAAGATGAACTAAAACAGAACATAAAATACTGCGAAACTGCAGGAGAAATGAAGAATACTCTATAAACCTGAATGCTGCACTAAATCAAGCTCTCATTGTCAGAGCTTGGCTTCAATATGCCCTTAGAGTAGATCCCACTTCAGTAAGCAGAACGAGGAACAGATACTGCACAGACACAAAAATACATCTTAAAAGGGTAGGAGTTTAATGTCACTTGTCACATGATGCAACTCATCTCACCTTAACTGGCCAAACACTCTGGCATGATCTAGACCACGGATAGAGCATTACACCAAATTTACAAATTCAACACTTGAAGAAAAGACCGTTTACACCAAACAGATAAACCTCATGGTGGTTTGACACGCATCATGCATCATATGGTACTTTACATATTCGCAGTTTAATGCAAGGACAACACATTTCTGACAGTAGAAGTTGTACTGATGTTTATTGGTGACATGGATTTGTGCTGCATATCCTAGGGTAACAATTCTCCAAAATATATATATTTACCTTAACAAAAGACTCCTGCTAGGAGGGAAGCAGCATATTTTTTCCCTCAGCAGGAACATATGATGCGTCGTGAAAAAGACGATGCTAAACATCAATATGGTTGATTTGTTTTCCAAAGTTAAAATTTAGCCATGTCAGTCTAAAATCGTTTAAAGCTCTACTTTGAAAGCATCAGATTTTAAATTACTGATGTGCTTATAGTGGTCTTTGGCTAAAAATTGAAATAAATTAATTAAATTAAAAAAGAGTTTTAAGGAGTTATTGTTCTAAGGCAAAACCAAATAAACCACAGCTCCATTGTGGTACAGCTGTGGTATAGATATGAGGAGCTCCTGCTGTTGTCGATATGGGGTTTATATTCAGATGATGTTTAATTAATATCTGTGAAATCTAAAAAGCTTCTCTGATATGGAAGTAATTTTAAGTTGCATGGTGCAAGTTCTGCAAAGGGCAATGTCATCCAAGACAAGCCACAGCATGTACTGCTCTTACAAACTCATCCAAACCAACCAATTAGTTAAGAGCATCAGTAATGACTGACTTATTGGGAAAAAAGCCTTTAACTAAATGAGAATGGCTGAGCTTCTCATTATATTTGTTTTCCTTTTAAATGCTGCACTCTTTTTCATGAAGGTCCTTAATCAAAAAGAGCTCTGCGAGTCATGCGTCACTTTTCTTTTTCCTTCTTCCAGGTCCGGACAAAATGTGACCCAGTTTCAAACCCTATATTTCTACTGGAGTTTGGACACATTTCAAACTCAAATGTGCAAATTATTCACATTCCTTAAACCTTTCATATTACAATTACAAACCTTAACCTATTTCACTGGGATCTCATAGAATACAGCATATCCACTTGTTGTTCCCAGTCAAGATAACCTAAAAACAAATTGATAATCTGTAGCAAAACTTCAGAAATTTTCACCTGTAGATGTGCAAAACTGGGAAAACAAACCCAAGAGGACTTTCTGATGCAGTTGAAGTGAAAAGTGACTCATTGTTGAAGTAGAGGGGCTGAATACAAATTCAACCACACATTTGAGAATTTTGTATGCAAGAGGTTTGGAAAACCATTCATCTTTTTCTTCTTATTTCATAATTATGCATTGGTTTGTCACAAATTAAATATGTTGACATTTATAGTTGTAATCTCACAAAATGTGAGAGTTCAAAGTGTATGAGTACATCTGACAGAAACATACAATTTCTTGGTGAACTATAAGCACTACTGAAAGACTAAAGAGTTTTGTCAATTGCTTTGTCATGTTTTTGTGCTTTTAAACCAAGTTGTATGTCGCCTGATGAATATAATGCTAACACTTGTAAACAGTGCTTTTCTCTTGCAAGGTCCCTTTTGAAAAACAGATTGTAGATCTCTGAGGTTTTTATCTGGTTTAAATAAAGACTATATGCAGATGCATACTGAACAGAGTACTAGAAAACTGAAAAGAGTAAATTAAATATGGGTAAAAGACATGACAGAGATCTGAACTTGGTCTGACGCTCTGGAGATGACAGGAAGGAAGTGACAAGGGATGGTCAGGTACAACAGAAAAGACGAAGTGAGCAAAGTGCAAAGAAAGTAGAGGCCTTTCAGGCATCTATGATGCACCGCGGGGGGAGCGGCCCTGATGAATTATGGATGATCCTCTAAATAGCAAAAGAACTGGCCAGCACAGTGGCCTGCAGGTTCTAAAAGATATTTCACCTTGTGATAGACTGCAGCTTACATTATTCATATGTGATAAAATAAATCTGAACACTTAAAAACTCAAGTTATAATGAGTTGAACAACAGCATGTGAAAAGGAAATTCTGCTATCGGTCTGGATTCTTTCTAAACCATCTTCCTCGTTCTCTCTGCAGTGCTGCTGTCCTCCTCCTCACACAGTCAATACCTAAAACACCTTACCCACGCACCGGCCTGAATATAATAGCATAGAGGAAAAAAATATATATATATATATATAGACATATACACTCAGACTGCGCTTCCATCCTAAGAGACTGACTGCATAACATGAGATGACTGAGACTCCTTTACGTCAACAGGGAAATCTGCTCCACATCCTGTGCACTGCTTCATGTCCGTACAAGCTCCAATCTCATGTTCCACATTCATTAAGAGCTACTTTCCATGCTCATCTTCCAGTGGCCATGGGCCAGACGATCATCGGTAGGCCTGATATTTACAACGGTGGCATTATGTTGTTGTTTTTCAGACAAAATGATGAACAGAATGTCATACGATATATTGTTTACAAAGTTGATACACTCATGAAATGAGATCGCTTGAGTGCTTAGACTCTGATAGTAGTAACATTGCACCAACTTATCAGTCAGTGACAGAAATCTGTAAATTTTCCCTTGATCAGTTCTGACTGTTGGGCAGCAGGTCAAATACTGAATATCTGAATTTTAATTTAATAAATGTGTCCAAATGCTGGAAATGTTGACATGTTTTGTCTATGAACACATTAAGAACCAGCATGTTTTATGCATTAAAAAAATAAATAAATCAGCTAATTTAGGATCATATGCTTTTTGATCTATTAACCTGACAAATCTTGTACTCTCTTCAATTTCTGTTTGGTTCAAAATTACTTTGTCTCAGAAAACAGTTTAGAAAACATCCAAGAAGGAAATGCATGTCATTTTTCTTTTTAGGCTGTTATGATTTTGTTTTTAAGATTTTAAGGTTGAATTAAAATGTTTACACAGATTCAATAGGATATGTTGCTGTCCTTTGTAAGGGTGCTGTAATCAGAGAAGCTAAATTTCAGTTTTTTTTTTTTAAATATCTGCTAATACAGAGTTAACTTGGTCCAGTTGTCACATTTGTTTTGCTTTTAAAAGGCTGCTGCTTAAAACATTTTTTAATTGGGGGTTTAAGTTAAACAGTGATTCAAAACAAGATTTTCCACCTTTCAACAAAATGACCTGATAACAAAATTGTTTTGTAAATGCTTCTTATCATTTGCTAAAATGAAGTTACACCAAGTGTATCCACAAAACTTAAGGACAAACTGAGATGTAAGATGAATTTAAGTGAAACAAAGTTATGAACAGGTGATTGTTATGTTTTTAAAGGGTTTCCAAGTACTGTTTTTTTTTAGCAATCAACACCATTAGCGCATCAGAATTTTGGATAATGTCTCCCCAACAGGCTGCCATCATTTCAAACTCTGTATTACCAATGGTCAATCAAGCTTATAAACTTAAAAGGATCAAATAAACCAACTATTCTATTCAGTTATTGTTCCTGTTACTGATAAAACTCCTCTATCTTGCAGTAGTTTCATTCTTAGATACTCTTACTTTAACAGTCTGATACAACTTTCAATTTATTTGAACAAATAGACTAAAACTCCAGTCTGCAAGAAAGACATTGATTTAAAAAATCTGTATCAGGCAGTTGAAGACCGCTTGATGCCTTACTGAAGTAGCACCTCGTTATAAAACAACAGCTGTACTTTCACTGTGATCTGAGCACCAAAATAAAACAAGACCATATTGAGAATGATGAGGCAAATTTTCAAAACTCACAACATTCACTTAAATTACACAGGACTCCATCTGAGAGGGACTACAGCATAAAAACAAAAACTTCAAGAATGATGATCTTTGTGCTACTTCCACCTCAAGATGAATCCTCAAGTCTCAAAATATGCATGCAATTTGCAAGAACATTGTTTAGCACAGCTAACAGGCATCAGTTATCTTGTCCTAAATTAACCCGGTCTGTTTCTGTCTGCCATTAACAACCAACTTAAACAGCCTGCTTCGCTATGCTCTAAATCGTCCTTCAGCCTGGGCCACAGACCAAAACACCCAAGAGCAACAGAACATTGCGCTCCACCCTGACTCCCCATCCCAGAAGACAAACAAACAACGCCTCCTCCTCACTGTCCTTGTCCCCCGCCGCTGGCATGCATTCAGACCATGAGACGTGCACGCTTTCCTTCTTACCCTTGCGTTTGTAGAACCACAGCATACAGCTTCGGAACACAGACATGGGACAGGGCATGGAGGAAGTGAGGGAGACGGGGGCCCATGGACCCTCGGGAAGGAAGTGAAAAGAGGGTGCTGGGTGTGAAGGTGATGGCAAAATGTATACAGATGGACAAATGGAAGGGCAGTGATGAAGGAAACTAAGAGGAACTTAGTTAAAGACCTGACAAAGCATTAGGGTTTGGAAAAATAAAAAAAAGAAAACAGAGTGTCTGCAGTGTGCTGAACTGGACAGCCTCAAAAAAAAAAAAAAAAGAAACAAAAAGAAGGGAAAGACTGACAGAACAGCAGGGGCAGGTTTCTTTCCTTTGGGGTGAATGGTTGTTCAAAAGTGAGCAGCAGCAGCAGTGGTGCAGAAAACAGTGAGCAGCAGCATCAGCAGCAGCCAGAAGAGACCTGAGCTCAGCTCCAGGCTCAGCACTATTCCCTCATTATTCCCACAGGCTCAGCTGTAGAGACACATGAGCAGCAGTCTTCCTCCACGGTCGACAGAGCCGGAGAAAAGGAAAAAGGATTTACTTGCTCAAAAGCTCCTGTTCATCTACAAAGATATGCCAGTCTGACCTGAGGGACTCAGGTCAGACTAGAAAAAGAGGAAATTGCTCAGACAAAACGCAACCCGCTTCGACTCAGTATAGATGCCTGTGCGTTCACGCGTTTCCTGGCTTTAGAGCAATCCAATCCAAGTCTTTAGAAGGTGGGGAGGGAAAGAGGAAAGAGAGAGAGAGAGAAAGAGAGAGAGAGAGAGACGGACTAAATGAAGAGCACAGATGGATGCCAGAAAGATCTCAGAGAGCGAGGCAGAGAAGGCGGCTTGAAGGCGAGGGGAGGAGAGGACACCTCACCTTGAAAGTGGAAAGTCTTCTGGTCCACAGTGATGGTGAATGTGCTGTCGTCCTCGTCATCTATGCCGATCACAGCTCCCTGGGCACATAGAGAGAGGAACACAGGCAGTCATATAATACTCCACTTTCCATTCCTAAACTCATGCCCTCCCTCCACATGTCCCAGCAGCCTTCTATTAGCTCCTATTACTCAATTAACCTTCTCAGCTACACACTCTTTCCTACTAAAAATCTTTAACTCTTAACTGTTTTCCTCTCTCATTTCTCTGCGTATGAATGCAGCCTTTTGGAACCTGGCACGGAGAAAGAGAGAGAGAGAAGGGATTTGGGAAAATGAGGGAGGAGGAGGAAAGCAGAGGTAGGGGGGAGGAGTACAGACAGTGGCAGAGAAAAAAAAAAAAAAAAGTACCGCAGGGATCCAGCCCACTGGCTGGCTGGGACATTCTATTCTGCAATAGGAACAGGGCAGGTGTGACCCAAAGCTAAATAATGTACAGGATCGAGCACCATTGGAAACGGTGGATGAAATTAAACTAGAAGGTTGTTGAATATTTTTGAAATTTAGGTTGAGTTAAAAGAAAATATGTTCACTTTTCTACAATGTTTCACCAAAAATAAACGTCTTAAAATGTAAAGGGTATGTAACAAATGTCTTGAATTCACATAGCAAGACCTGGAGGTCCCATTCATATGTGTAGAAACATTTACAAATTCAATTAAATACTTTCCAATTCTTTTGTAGCTATAAGAACAACACAGCTAAATTTAATTTATGACAGCAAGTGGCAAAAGGTTATGCGAGAAAGCCTATTTGATTGCACCAAGTGTTTGACTTTGGAGCAGTGTCTCATTCTGAGCGAGCGTGTGGTGATGGTGTGGAGAGGAAAGTCCTCTTCAAGCATGTTTAATCTGCTAAAAAAAAAATAAATAAAAAAATCACAATGAATGCTGTGACTATTAAATAATTTGAAAATGTGTGGAAAACCAGCCCCTCGTGAAATTAGCTTGTTTTAATGACAGGCGTCAATCAGTGTTAGTCCTACGTTTCTGTGCAGTTTAAAGATTCTTGGAGTTAGACTGAAAACTGAAATTAAACAAGTGTATTTAAAAGCAAAATTAGGCTATTTCATGGAGCTTTTCTAAAGAAAAGTGTTACGACTAGAAACAACATTTCACACCTCCAAATTCAAAACTTGCATATTTAAATCTAAAATTAGCAGCCTACAGGAAAACCGGAATTTTAAAAAGTATCTAAGCAATAAATTAGTTCTTCCTTCTGTGGAGTAGTTAAAAATATTGTCTCTAGTGTTAATGGTGAGTATCAAACCTTTGCTACAGCTCCAACTTAAAACTTTGTCCCAGGAACAAATGAATACAAATTACATTGTCTATTTCCCAGAAACTGCAGAAGATGCTTCCTCCCATTTACAAGAAGAGACAAGATTTGAAAGTGATAAAGCATGACCAGCTTTTAAATGTTGATGCTGAACTTTGACATATTCATTTACAAAGTAGTGTCAACACAATATGCAACATGAACAGGTTCAGCTGAAAAAGCTCAACAAACTTCAGTGGATTGGCTGATTGACACACCACAGCCGCCGACATTCTGCTTAATGTGATCTACGCTCCTGTACACAAGCATTTTAAATAGATAAAATTAGATTACACAACATATTGACTAACAAACTAATCTTTGCGCACGGCACCTCGACACCAAATAACTGACATAATTCTCAGAGATGATCAGACTAAAGCAGAACACTAAACACTAACACAATGAAAGTGGTGAATATTTTTGATTTAATTAAATCATTGCCAATACTCATTGAGATTAAAACAAGTGAAGATTGGTGAGAAACAGCCATCATTCACTTAATAGTAATTCTTGCAAGACTTAAAACTTGGTAGCGTGTTATATCAAAACAAAACAAAACAAAAAACATCCTCATGTAAAAACATTGAAAGTAGTGAAGCATCTGCTGCCATCTAGTGGATAAAGCTGAAGCATGAAAACGCTGCAGCTTGCCATGGAGACTGTTGAACAAAACCGGAATAGCGGGTTAAGCCGGAATGGTCCGGATATCCTGGCTCAATTAAACCTGGATTCGGTTTCACAAGAGCAGCACCACATAGTTACACTAACGATTGGTCTGGATCAGGCTAACAGCCAGGGTTAGTTAATCCTGGTCTGTTCAGGCAGCGGTCAAGCCGATTCAACCTGTTTGGTCACTGATTTAGTAATTTAAAAAAAGAAAAATCAGCCAGAACTGCAGTCTGACAGAAATGCCTAATAGACTATTTCGCGTTGAGAGTATTTGAAAAATGGGTGAAAAAAAAACAAAGGAGTTGTAATTGAATCAAGTCACTTAACTTGTAGCGTACACTTTACGGATGGATTTTTAGCATTAATGACAATAAACCCTCTTAACTTAAAATAACGTTTACAGCTTAAGATAACTTCAGTTTCGGCATATAACAAGCCAGCAATTTAAGTGACATAATATTTTTATGTGTACTTATTTATAACGTAAACATACCTGGTGCCTCTATCAAGGGACTGCTAATAAGATACATTTTGTAACCTCCGTTACACAACTTTTGCCTTTTGGTTGCCGTTAAGCTGTCTTTGCTAACAGTTAAACAGGAAGTTGCCATTTCAAAATAAAAGCACCAAAACACAAACAGGAAGTTTACCATAGGTAAAACTATCGATAAAAGCGACATCCCGTCGCGTCACCTGTTCCATTATTATGTGCAAGAAGTTACCTTAACACATCCTATTGCTTCAGATCATCTGTGATGCATCTTGAGCAAAATCGAGCTAAGTCCAGACACATGAACAGTATTTTTAACTGCTCATTTAAGTATGGAAAGTAAACATGTGTAGCCACCTTCTAATGCATGGGTGTCAAACTCTAGTCCTTTAAGGGCAGCTGCCCTGCAGTTTTTAGATGCCCCACATGTACAAAACACTAGAATGAAATGGCTTAACTACCTCCTTCTTGTGTCAATAAATTCTCTAGAGCCTTGCTTATGACCTAATTATTCTATTCAGGTGTGGTGCAGCAGTCACATTTAAACGTTGCAGGGCAGTGGCCCTGCAGGACTGGAGTTTGACACACGTGTTCTAATGTCACTAGTACAGTGTAGTCAACATTTTATTCACACACTTCCCAAATACGGCAAAATGTTATATTTAATCTCTCATTAGTCCAGTCATGTTTGTTCTGTATGAATATAAGATGCATTAAAAAAAAGATGTTAATTAAGCTGCTATCAAATTCAGATTACAATATTGACTTCCACTGGTCATTTATAACTTTAAATTTGACCTAAGCAAATGACAGGTGCCTCATTGAATGGTATGGCTGTGACATCTTTAGTTAAAAGTTGTGCTTAGAAAAAGTATAGTTTAGGCAAATTATGTATTCAGTTGCTAGTGTCAGTGTTTCCTTCTGGGAGTATAACCTACTTCAATTCCTCATAATCTTCCATTAAAACATGTTGCTCGTTTGGTCTGCGTACGCAATTTATCTGTTGTAAAATCAGTGAAGCAGGGATTGGTCTCTGAAGAAATCTGTGGACACAAATTCACCTGACTCACTTAAACCAGGCTTGACATAGTCACACCCCTGAAACCTTCCTGAAACGAGTCAGGATGAACTTATGTTTTGTCAAGCCTGGCTTTATCTCTTATCCTGGATTTCTGAATCCTGCTTTTAGGAAATAGCCCTCTAAACTGTGGGGGGGTTTTCTTGATGCCCAAAGCATGTTCTTTTTTTCTTCTTTTTTTTATAAATACATATAGTGGAAATGCAGTCCAACATGCAGAGACAAAAAAAATCCATCAGCCAAAAGCAAAAAGACTTTTAAGTGTCTTACTCTGAGTCGCACGCAGCCTCTTCTGGATCCTCGCATCATTTTGTCCTTGGACTGTAAAACAAGAACAAAAACAACTTACAGCATTGGACAAAAACTGCAGAATTTTAGATTCCATTAACAGATTTTCAAACCTGATTAACTGCTTGGGTTTGTTCATTCAAATGCACTGGGTGTAAGCTATACTGAGGCACTCTTGTTTCCAAAAGCCAAGAACATTTTCCTTCATACCACTCCCATGGTTTAAAATCCTATTACAATTTTTCTCAGGCGCTTTGATGCATTTATCACATCACTATTAAAAAAAACAGCTAGTGCTTTTCTCAAAACAATTAGCACACACTTCAAGACCTATTTGATAATCTGCAAAAGTGAATCACTTACTCAAAATAGATAGTTCATTCCTCAAAAGCAAGTATTCTTGTCAATAAAGTGTCATCAAAATAAAAAGGCCACCATCAGTCATTTCTAAGATACCCTTTGTTATGTTTTTATTATTACTGTTCACTCTGGAAGTGTTTCCCAATGCAATAAAAATCACATTTTCTCTAGACAGCATTAGACATTATTTACACTGAAATCTGAAGTCTAAAGTTACAGTAAGTGAGGTAAATGAGTATAAGACACTGAATATGACGCTTCACATTTTTACTGCATACCGTGGCTACTCTAACTCCTGATTTGTTCACGTTATTGTCAAAAAGCAAAGTACAAACAGCAAGCACACATCCTTTGGGTAAAGCTGCGCACAACTGGCAACAATATCATCAATGGAAGCTGAGGTTCACCTGAGAGAACCTGTTCAATTCCTGAGACATTTTCAAGAAAGGATCATAAATAAAAACCCTCAACAATTTTCTTGATAGGTTTCAGCAACTACTACAACATTTTTGTTTGCAGTTACTCAAGCAAAAAAAAAAGAGAGAGAGAGAAAAAGAGAAAAAAGACTGTTCAGCGTTCATTAAAATGATTTCATACAACTGACATGACCAAATTATAATGCTATGAAATAGCATAAAAATGCATGGAAACAATTGATGCAAGTCGAAATAAATTAGCTGTTTTTGACACTGTCATAACTATTATCATGAAAGTTATATTTTTTTTTTAGTAGAAACAGAGATAACGGTTGCATTTTCTTTTAAATTAACTTAATTAGGTCATCTTAAGAGCTCTAAAAATGTCTGTGGTCCTATTTACTATGAAATTAAAATGTAACCCAATCCAAAATAGCTATACTAAATAACATCTTAAATGTAGCTAGATAAACTTGTCAATTAAAATATCACCCAATAAACTCCACATTAGAGTAAATAAAATAAAAGTCAAGGAAACAATATATTTATCTGTACGTACACCCAATATTTATTCCTTTTTTATCAACAGATCATCACATTGGGCTGTAATATTGTTTTAGTGTCAAGCCTCTAATAGCCCTTAGTTTCCAATCTGTAGTGCTATTTTCCTAGATATAAAGTTGAACCTGGCTTTTTTCTTTTTTGTCAAATTGGTTTGTCCCCATTTCTGCCATGCAGTAGTTTATATCTTTATGTATTCAGTGTCCTTCTTGAAGTCAATGTGGTTCTCTGTGTTCAGAAGGTAAAAGGCTGCCTAAGGAACTTTCTGAGCGGCAAGGACGAATCTGATAACTAATCGGTTCACAACTCCGACGTGATCTGAAATTATGAAACTTAAATCTAAACAATAAGCGCACTGAAATGAAACTGATCAAGAAACTAACTAGCCTCTCCTCCCACCGTCCTGGTCGTTAAAGACAGAAGTCTCTATTAAAATAATGAACAATGGAGTATTTCCAAACCAGTGAGTGTTGGACTTTTAACTCGTTATTGAGAACAGATACCTCTTCACCAGCCTCATTATGACTGACTCTGGCAATGGTTTTTATTGCTGCCTGTATTGCTGCTGTTAGCCCTGTTAACCAGCTGCATTAGCGGAAGTAACAACCGAACGCTCGACGTTACTCGTCAGTTGCTCCTCGAAGCTCACTGCGATTAGCCAACGAGCGTTTCAGTCACCAGGTAGACCCGCCTCTTCAAGCCAGCTGATACTCCCAACTCCTGACAAACATAAGGCCTTGTCTCACTTCTGTTCAACAACCAGCGACATGTTTAACCGTCGCTCGGCTCCTCTAACCATTGGCGAACAGTGGAATTGAACGTACCGTGTAGTACGACAGGAGCCCGGCGTTGTAGTCCAAAACAAACCACCGGTACTGCCAGCCTTTCATGACGTTAGTCCACTTGCTTAGCGGCCCCTCCATGATGGACGCCATCTTTACAACAGGCTACGATTGGGGAGGAGCCGCATATGGTGAGGGCCAGGATGCTGAGGAAGAGGAGGGTGGGGATGATGATGATGGTGGTGAGACCTCTTTATTATCCCCGGGGATATCTCATCTGTTTCCACATTTTAATAAAAGTGTGCAGAGCGATATAGCTCTTAATAATTACAAATCAAACTTTAAATAACTTGCATGTTCTGAAATACTTTGAAGCAGAAATGAAAAACTTTGACTAAATTTTTAAATTGACTTTGGCAAAAAAAAAAAAAAAAAAAAAAAAGGGAGGGGGGGTAATAAGCGTTGAAACAAATTCACGTTTTATTGCAAAAACATAATCACAAATTTAGAAAATTTGCGAACATTATTACAGTGGGGGAATTGCACACTAAGATAACTGCTTATTACATTAATGATTTCACTAGTCAAGTTTATTTCTATATCACATTTTAGCAATGAGAAAATTCAAAGTGCTTTACATAATATAAACACAACCTGAGAAACAGACAAAAACATTAGATTGCAGTGGTAAGCTAAAGAGAAGTAATGAAAAGTTGCAATCCAGACTAAAATGATTTTTGAATTTATATTAACATGACTTTAAGCAAATAGGTTTTAGCCTTAATTTAAAAGAATATTGCATTTCAGAATTTTTGCAGTTTTCTGGAATCATAGAACTATAAATCACATAATGCAGGCTTTCCATAAGATTTAAGTTAGTAAGTGGTTTTGGTCCAATTAATCATTTCTGTATTGATTTGGCCATGTATATTATATCCTGCTGAAAATCTATTTACTTTATACAGTAGCCTGTATAAGTCTCTGATGACTTTAAGGCATCAGAGATTATTAATAATTTATTTAAAGCCTTTTTACTTGAAATTAATTGCACCAACCAGTGCTGGTGCAGTGTGCTGTATGTAAAGATATGTTTTGGGTTTTTTTGTCTTTCATTAGGTTCTGGTTGATGCTAGTCTGGCCTAATTATGGTTAACATTACCATAATTAGTCTTCAGACTGGTCTCAGTCTGAACTCCAGACTTATTTAAAGTCCCATCTTCCTCTGTTACTATAAATAAGCAGACAACCTGATGCTGACCACTCTTTATTGTGCCTTTAAAATAGCATTAATAATGCACTAATGTTGCATTTTGTAAATTTCATTTTATTTCATGTCTGGTTCTTTGCTTGTTTTGAATCTTCTGCTACAGCTGTCTGCAGATCAATCCCATTGGGATAATTATATTTTACTACTTACCTATATAATTTCATTGAAATAGGAATTTGAAGAGTATAGTATATAGGTAATTACTTGTACTAATTTTATTTTTGATAACTCTACTTCTTTAACCTATAACTTTTAAGCACACAGAGTATGCTAAACTGTAAATGTAATCATATTCAAAAGGATTCAATCTAAATATCCATCAGAGTAAATTTGAGTCTGTATAATAAATTTGTTGATTTCCAGTACAGTAAATATCTTATCAAAGAAAATTTCCAATTACAATACTGTCTATTCAAATACATTTTAATGTTTTGTTTTAAAAGAGCTCAGTCTGTATACATTTTAAAGAAATTATACAACAGCATTCATCAATATCTTTATTATTTACAATAGGCTTAACACTGATAAGCAGAACTTCACAGTAATATAATGTGAGCATTAAATAAAAAAAACAAAACAAAAAAAAAAACACAAAATATATTTTTGTACAATAAAAAAAGTCATGTTAACATTTTATCCCTGTTTAGATTCACATATTCCACTCTGGTGTTTTTGTGTTAATTTTACATTGCACTCATCCAACTGAAGACGCGGCCTTTGGTATAATGATGTGAACGCACGCCTTTTAGAGATAAATCCCAAAAATAGAGAAGACAGGAGAAAAGAAAAGACACACTGCATAAAAGATCAACAGATAAAAACAGATGACAATTAGCGGAATTGTAGTGGTCAGATAGGAAAAATATAGAGATTTAAACATGTAGGATCTGAAGGAGGAAAAACATCATGAACAGACTTATTTTCAATAAGGCTTTTCAGAAAATTGCTCCATGGTGACACCACAAAACAAAGTAACCAACACAAAGCAAGCCAGAATGGCAGTCATTCAGAAATATATTTATACATATTCAAATTTGGATATTCAGATTGAGACAAAAACAGCAGTTTGGGTTTAGTGCAGCGTGGTTGTGTGTATCATTGTTTATGCATTAAAAGTGTTTGTAACAAAAAGAGCACCTTTTGGTTCCCAGTTTGCATCTGACCATTTAGAAATAAAATGAAACGTAGTGATGATCTAATTATAATTCATAATGGAAGAGCAGACATTCGCTGTGATTTGCTGCAATCATTGTGTCCTTTACATATTTTTCCCCTACAAAAAGGCACCAAAAATGATGAAAAATGTTATTTAAAACTCACAGTGAATAGAAATTAAAGTTTTATCATAAAGCATCCCATTTCCCCAAAGATACAGGTGGATTAGAATGAAACTCATAAAACACAATCAAGGCTAACTGAAATGTATTTAAAGAGTTATGCAGCTCGGTGCTAATAGATTCAGTTGTATATATATGCCATTTGTTACTCAACTGGTGAGGGCTTTTCCAGTGTACATCAAGGTGAGAACCGAAGCAACAAAACCAAATCATGTTTGAAAACTGCTAGAAGTGTGTGTGCTGTGAGTGTTCATTAAAAACAGAGCAGCTGTCTTCAGACTGGTCATATTTAGAGTATGGGCCTGCAAGTGTAAAAGAAACATGGCACTGTAGGAAAATAAAGACAAAAGTCAAACATTTGATCAGGATCAGGAAAGAGGGATAATACATTCAAAGAGATCTCTCACATTTCTCTTTAAGCCATCGACACACATACTCTTTTTAAATCTGAAGAAATACATGAAAAATCTCCATAATTTTCCTCTCAAAATATGCTTTGAACAAAAATAATTTAGTTAAAATTCATACATTCTGAAAAGCATTTCTCTCTCCAAGTCAAATAAATCCATGTGTCACTCATGTGCTAAAGACGTACTGCAGTTTAGTCTGGTGAGAGTTCAGTCCTGTGTGACAGGTGTAAAGTAGGTCTCTGCACTCATTAAATAATCTGAGGCACTGGGGCCCTACAAGGCTACAGGGAATCCAGCACTGCCCATCCTGTGAAGGACACTTAGAGAAAACATGTCCAGGTCAACCTGCTGCCATCCTGTGCTTGCCACCTCCCAACTGTTATGTGATCTGAATGTAAAGGGAAAAAAAATAAAAAAATTGAAATATTTCCGGGATGTCCAGGATTTGTCACCATCTAAACCTCAGCTACATTCAGTCATAATGGTTAAATAATGAAATATGTGATTTCCTTTATAGTCCCAATCCAATGTAAGATATTCTTCCTGTCTCACTGATTTTTAAATGATCTATATTAGGATTCGCCAAAGAAACTCAACTGTTGATGGCTGTCGTTGACCTACAGTCTTCTGAAAATAGTGAGCTATGCCTATTTTCATATGAACAGTTTTATGTGGAGTTTAGATTTTTGATTCAACATACCAACAATCCCAGTGTTTTTCCCTTTTATGACAACACTAAAGGAGAAAAAATATTTGCTGCCCCACCCTCATTGTTTCTATGACACATAACTGCTGTGCATCCAAAGTTAACTTTGGCATTAAGACTGAGTTTAGTAGAGAGCAGCTGAAACACTAGTCCCTAACATTTATGATATCTAAAGCAAAGCATTGAGCTGAGAAGTACAGAAAAATACTTCCTCTGTAAACTGGAATGTGTTTCCAGCCCAGTTAAGAAGGAAACAAGCCAAAGTTAAGCTACTATTTTAGCAAACTGTTCCAAATGAAAATAGCAAGCTTTTGTAAAGGACTGTACCTTTATGTATCAGGCCAGATATATCTTTATAAACAAAAGATAAAGCTATGAGTGTTTCAAGTGACAATTTTTAAAAATATTTCATTACCTTAACTTTTAGGTGGAGCAGCCTCTGGGACACAAAACAGATCAGACTTCAGTATCTTGTCTGTCATTAGTGAGTGAAATGTACTGTTCTTTTAAAGATATCGCTCATTTTAGCAGAAGAACCAGGCTGAGATTAAGTCTGGGGAATGCGTGATCTTAATTCACTGGGATCTGTATGTATATCAGGACATACTTAATTTTTTTGTCTTCATTTTGATCGGATTAGATTTCAGTATGAACTAAGTGTCCCTTCAGTCGTTCTAAAAAGTTTTGACATGTTGGAAAAAAATCCCCCAAAATCCTGGCTACTGATTGAGATGTAAATAGAGCTAAAAACTGACAAAGAAAACACTAAATTTGACATTTGAATGCTACTGAATCCTGAAGCTGGTTCCACATCCTTACATTCCCAATGGCTTTAGAAAAATGGCTTATGGTCACACAGTTCCTCACTGTGAAACAATACATCCAGCTGATGGTCCACATACTTATGAAACAATGAGTTTAAGACTGCCCTCAACCATCCCTGTCTGTTCTAAGAATGCAACAGATAAGCAGGGTGAGTTCTTCCCCACGGTTAGCTGACAACACACACAGCTCCTACACTCATTCAGGTGACAAAGAGGCTTTCTGTGGCCAAATTAAAAACTTGTAGCAAAACATTGCAAAGTGTGACTTGAACCACATTTAGTTTAGTTTAGTGAAACATTTCTCAAAATATGTACAGCTAAGAGCAACAACTTAGTGACCACACTGGCATTTTAGGAAACAGGTTTCCGTAAACAATTAAAAAAAAAAAAGTTTTGTAGTGAATTTTGTGAGGTACTGTAGAGATTTATCTCAATCTGTGCCCCAAATAGCTGAACCAGAAACATAAAAAAATCGGAATATACTGTAAGTGATTTGCCTGGTAGTAGAGGTGGTGGTTTGTGTGATCACAGTGGCTACCTCTGTACTACATCGCTAATCTCTTTGATACAGTTGTGCAGGTTGTCCAGCACAGTGTTGGGCCCCACACTGCTCAGGCCCCCGCCTCCAGAAGAAGAGGCCCTCAGTTCC